GGTGGGTTTTGTTTTTTTGGTTTTTTTTTTGGGGGGGGGGTGGGGGGTGGTGAGTGTTTGGGTTTGTTTTGTTTTTTTTTTTAAGGAGAGCTGGAGGTTGGAGAGTAAGGAGGAATAGCGGTTCAAAATATTTTGTATGAATTTGGTAGCTCCTGTCGGATCGATCCATCATCCTTCGTTGTAAGTGGAGTAGGTGGCTGCGTTGTGTTTCAGTATGGTTTAATTTCTAAGGGAGTCACTGGAGACTGATCTATTGTTGGCCTGCTGCTGTAGCAAAACCCTAGGCATGTCATTCTGGCTGGGTAGGGTTTGCTAATGGAGGAGGTGGTACGTAAGGTGGTACGTGGATCAGACCCCCAATGTTTGTCTTCTGATTTTGTTGCCAGTCATCCCCAGAAGGCGGATGGCCCTATTTAGCTGCACGCTCAGGATGTGCACCTGCAGGGCAGAGATCTTTGTTCTTGCGTTCCATTGAATCGTTTTGAACTACAGCTCTTAATTTAGCCTTAATTTGTGTCTGGCTCAAACAGAGACAAAACCATAAGAAGCAAATTTCTTGGATCTGTACCGAAACGACTGAGCAGTGCTCTCCCAGCAACAGTAAAATTATGTGCTAGGTAAAGAGTTTTCTATGTTCATTAGCCCCTGGCAATCCATGTTAGTAGGAGTTCTGGCTGGGCTACTGATGTTTTCACGTTCTATTCCAAAAGGTTTCGGGTTAAATATTTTGCTTATATTGGAGAGTTGTCTACTGCATCCTTTAACCTATTACCATTTTCAAGTATCTAGCTGGTATGTGTAGGTTATGGATGGGGCTGACACTCAATTTTCTTTGTGAATGAGAGGATCCTGGGAGTTAGATCACAGTAAATAGCCTGTCATAGCTAACTAATGATCTTATATGTACCTTACGGTATATATCTGCCTTCAGCAGAATACAGTATGTATGTTGGCAGATGCTCTGTTCTAAAATACTTTATTGTAGTTTTATGTAAGCAAAGATTTAAAATATGTGTAAATAGTCAAACTGAATAGGTTGATAGATCATCTCACTCTCCTCTACAGCAAAAGACAAATTAGTGCTATACCTGCTGAGTACAGATGATACATTTACATAGCCCCAAATCTGGAAGTCCAGATTTTCTTCTGATCTTCCATAGGAAAACTCTTCCAAGGGCTGACACGCAGAGCTGGGCGTCAAAGGCCCTCTCGATCAACCTTGTGTTGGTACTAGACAGTTCCCTGCAAGGCCCTAAGCCCTCCTCCAGACCCCACTGAGTTCAAGGGAGTCTCTCTTATTGCCTTCAGTAAATGTTGAACTGGGCTGTAAGTGACTGGGAACCTCAGAATAGGAACTGGCATGCTAATTAAAGGCTGATGGGGAATCCTTATAAAAGAGGCTTTAAAAAGAAATAATTCCCAGTCATCTCCTTGGAATACCATGCTGAGTTCTTACTTCAGTTATTTGATATATATATTACTTTTTTCCCCCTGTAGGTTAAAATGGACTTAGAAGAATGTCCCCTTTAGAAACTGCAGGGGCACAGTTGTTTGCTTAGTTGACTCCATGGCTGCTTTGTACAAGATGAAGGATACTTCTCTAAGACCACTTGCCCAGTATCATATGGAAAATAGTAACAGCAGCTGTTAGCATCTGACAAGTCAGCGACAGGAAATTTCCTCTTTAATTAGAGACTTTACAGTGGGTGTCCTAGGTAACTTTCTTATCTTTGCTTTCATAGACAAAAGGAGCCATTAAATGAAACAGTCAGAACAAGCATAAATATCAAACCCAACATCTGATGATTGAAACTGATTAAAATTGTGGTACGCTTTCAAGATGTGTTTATAGTAGCTTAAAGTGTTACTTAGTTATGAGAAATAATTTATTAAGAAAATAAGCTTTGTCAGCTGACTCTGCTGAAAATAATGAGGCAATTGCATTTTCTCCATGGTGGGGAATGATCGCGCTGTCTGACAAGATAGCTATTGGGACAACAGTATTAAATGTGAGTGATTTCAGCAGCAGTATTTAAAAAGAACTCGGGCAAGGTCTATTATACTGTATTCCCAGTGATTGGGATAGACTGGGGTGGACAATCAGTTGCACTCTTTTTTTTTTTTTTTTTTTTTTTTTTTTTTTTTTTTTCTTTTTCTTTTCTTTTTCTTTTCTTTGTAACTTCAGAGCCCCAAATCTTTCTTGATTACTTTCATTTTTCAGCTGTAAATTGTCCTACAAGCCCTGTTTTGTCACAGTTGTGTTGTCCCAAGCAGAAAGTTTCATGTACCACAGCTGTATTGACACCACATCTGTATGAATAAAGAAACATAACCGTGGAGTCTGCCTTTTGGAATGAAAATGTGTACAGTTAGAGGTTGCTTCATGCCTCAGCTACGCGGCAAACAAGCCTTGCCATCGGCAGGGTCTACGGCCGAGGCACGTGAGGCTGGACCTTGCACTGGGATTCTTTTTGTCTCAGTATGTGTTTTTTCAGCAGCATGAGGTGATTGAGGCTGAACCTCTGCAGGAGGCTTTTCTTTAGGGAAGGGTGGTTGAAGCTGTCTGGGCTGGGTTGCGGCGGGGGAACTGAATTAGTGCTCTGAGGCAGTCACTCCCCTGACACATGCACAGGGGCATGAAGAATTCTGGCAGCCAAACTGCTGTGCTCTGAAGTTGGGATTCAGGTCTCCAGTTCTTCCAAATATCTTGGAAAGTGTGAAACACTGCATATGGTGCTAAGAACTTGGACTGGATAACCTCAAGACACTGAAGAATCTCTTTCCTTGGCAGCCTTTAAGGAGTAGGGTATCTATTGGTCTGGGTATCTTTGGTGCTGCCTCAGTGCAGGAAGGTTGATTTTTGACAGTCACTTGAGATGTCCTCCAGTCCTTTGTGTCTGACTT